GGTTAAAATTAATTCTTTAAATCACCTTACCATTGAAAATGAAACATTGAAGCCTACGATGATGCATGTTAAACGTGCTTCTGAAGTGGGAAGTATTTCGACAAACAACGAAAAGAGTTCTTTCTACATCCACACTATTCAGTAACGTCTACTAAAAAATGCATGTCTCATATTCATTTCGCATAACGTAAAATGCTTTCAAAATGCTTTCACCCAGTCATTAAAAATTTCGAGACAAACAAACAGAAATGTTCTAGAACAGGCCACATGATTTTCGGTATGCTCTGAAGAACGCTCATTAAGTTGATTCGAGAAGAAAGAGGCTGAATGTGTTAGAAATTACAATTTTAAAAGCAATTTCCATTCAATTCAGTTTCCTTCCCCTTACCCGCAACCTGAAAATCTTTTGTCGCCAACACCTCTACCACCCTCGATACGCCCCAAACGTTCAATCTCCTCTTATCATTCGCATCTCCCCTCGGAGCGCCTCAGCTTCACCTGCTCCTCCGCGCTATCTGCTCCTCGCGAGGAATCGGGCCGTCACTCGACCTCCAACGTCTCACGTATTTGCCTCTGGGGAAGGAAGGAGGCGCCGGCCATTGAATGACAGACCCTTGCGGTGGGAATGGACGGAAAATGGCTGCGCGAAGACGAGACGAGACGAGACGAGACGAAGAGACAAACGGGCGACGGGGCAACGGGATTACAAGACTGGACAACTCGGCGACGAGTCGCGACGGAACAACTGGACGACTGCGCGACGGGACGAAAGGAGGAGGAGAAGCAAGGACGACGAGGCGGGTCAGTCCTAACGACGAGAACTTGGAATGCAACTGAGGTAACATGGCCGATTGGGGCGTCGGGATAAGGAGAATACTGTAGACTCCAATGAGAGGGTGGGTAGGGCCAATGAGATTATCGGAAAAAAACGTGGGCGGGAATCGTAAGCAAAGGAAAACTCTGCTGGTGTGCGGGATGGCGGCGAGGCCAACGGAAGGCGGTTCTGCACGAATGACGACGCGTTACAACCGAAAATTTAATTCTGCCACCTGAGCGTTTGTCAATATTGGTCGTCGGTAATTGAATTTTTTTGGCGCCCCTCCTGGGAAGGCGGCGCTGGCGGGCGGGCGGGGGATGGGGGCAGGGCAGCGCGATTCAATCCTGCCTCAAAAAAACCGCACGACCGCAGCGCACCGGCCGCCGCGTTCACGGCCTCGCGCCGGCTGCCGGGTATCGACACGGTGGCGGCGTCGCGGCGGCGGCGGCGTCGGAGGTGGAGGCAGAGGTTCCCGATGAAGCGGGTCCGGGGCCCCTCCCGCTGCCCCCATTCCCTTCTCCCTCCACTCCCACGCCATTTCCCGCCGCTTCTAACCTTCCTTGCGACACACGGCAGCTAAGCGTCTGCGTTTAGTGCTGAATTTCTACTTCTAAGCCCCAGCCTTTTAAGCAAAGGTAGCTAATGTGCAATCAACCTTCTCTGAAAATCTGTTTTTAACACAAAAAGAAAAAAATACAATTTTATACACATGTATAAAAAATGTTGACACAAAAGAACGAAATAACTTTCTGTAACGTAATGTTAAAACCATCTCAGTTTCTAACTAGTTCTGCTGGGTAGACAGATCCTTGTTTTTGTTTTCATAACATTACAGTTTTTAAAACAATGGAGGCTTTCACGGCTGGATATACGAGTACTATTAAAAATACCTTCCGAGCTGGACAACCGTAGTCCATTGGAAAGTCTGTGCCAAAACGTTGCAGCTGATAATCACCAGTTCCCCAGCGAAGCTCAAGGGCAACTACGTGCATTCATTCGCCACCGAAAGTATCTTCAGCAGTAGCAGACGAAACGTTTGGGTACAGAATGTCCGATAGACCACGATTATCCAGCCCGGAAGGAATTTTTAATATTTACAATTTATGTACACAAATATCAAAGTCTAGATTGAGTACTCAATAATCTCTAACACCAACGCCCTCATCTCGTCTTATGACCCATGTGGGTGTTTGGCCCTTCACAGTCTTGTAACAATCTCAATTCTTGACGAGCAACTCAAATGTTCGTTATTTTTTTTCGTGACCAAACACCAATTTAGATTCATTTACTAAAATTGTGCAAGTGGATAATTATATTTATTGTGAAACACCAAATTTCACCAATGCGATAGTCTTCTATCACGATGCTAACACGTCGGTCAAGAGTCGGTCGGGAAAATTCCAAAAAAGAAAATGAATAACCAAATTGTTAATTGTTTAAAAAATAAGAAAAGATTGCGTCTAAGCTGTTGGGAATTGCTATGTTGTGAAGATGACCACTCTATGACATTAGATCTCATTTTTTTTAAAATATTGATTAAAAAAACGGTAACGCTAGTTTTGTTATAAAAAGACCTGACAATTCAAATTTCGGGAATAAAATTTTGTAAAAACTCAATTAATAAAGAAGGTTGTGTAATGAAGTGGTTTAAATTGAATTGCATTTCTAGTGAATAATTTAGTAGATCTTTCTTTAAACGACACATATGATAGGTACGTAACTGCACAAAATTTCTTTCAAAAGCAAAAGATTTTATTAATATTATTTATCAAAACCTACCTGCATCGGACAAACAACGAACAAGAAGAAGAATGAAGTTTGTCAGCAGATATGGTACGTACCTGAAAGGAAAAAAAATGTCATTAGCGCAGGTACTAAATCATAATACACAATTATGTATATAAAATAGAGAGAGAGAGAGAGAGGGGGGGGGAAGAAAGAAAAGATATATCAGAACAACAGATATATCATGTTAAGTAAGATATTGCTTCAAATCACAGAAAAATTTAATTAATTCAATTAAATTAAAGGACCGCCAAACTCTTCTTAGATTAAACAATTAGGCAGTATACCCATCGATATAAAACCTATTTCTGCATGTAGTACACCCTTGGCGCGCGTCTACGTTTACTTATCTAATACCTTTTATAACAAAAATCACCGTTGATGTGTTAAGTAATGAAGGGAGCATGGGTGGCAGTGTTTTTCTTTTTAAAGGAGATGAACATGTATTCTGATTCGTTATTTATGAGGCTATTGTAAAAATGCTAAATCATTATTTTCATCTGATTTTAAATTCAAATCAACGTAAACATGATGGAAAGCAATAAACAGTTGCGCGGAAACATTAAAACTTGATCCTTTTTGAATTCAGAATTAACTGTTCCAAACCATGTTCTGGGAACGATAAATGCTGTTTCAGGCCGCCTCACTCGAATCCTTCGCATCAAATAACATGAATACTTTATTACAACTTTCATTACAATAATTTCATTATGTGGATTGATTTAGGTTTCAATTATTTCAATATTTCTATCATCAATACACCTATTCACGTAATTAAAAACGGGACTCGTCTACTGTTGGATTTTCAACTGTGTTCCGAAGGTTTTTCACGTAGAAGTCGATACAGAAGGAAGCATATATAATGCTTGTTACAAACTTTTTCATGCCATCCCTGCCGAGAACCTTCATTTGCATTCTTCCCAAGGCAATACTTCACCTTCGCGCAGCGCATGCGGAAGCAATTTTTCGAAGAGCAGCAAATCTTGCATGTAATGAAAAGACCAGAGAACGACCTTTCGAACAGAGATACCAGTCTCCTCAATCGTCTTCAGTGATTGAATTCTCGATTAATTTGAAGTTCCCGAGAAAAACAAAGGCTTCTTCGGCAAAGAGCTCTCGAAGAAAACTATCCAAAGTAGAAGCAAAGAAGGAAATTAAATTCTAAAAATCAATAATATTGGTTCTTTCCTTGAACTTTTTGTTATTTTCTATTTCCTGCAATTTTTCGGTATTTTTATGGAACTTTGTGATAATACTTTCCGAATAATTTGAATGAGATGACTCTAAATGTGTCACACATAGCAAGAAAGGGTTCAACAAACGATGTCTTTGGGGCAGTTTAATTGGTAGTTGAAGAACGAATCAATTTTGGAGGAAAGATTTTCACTTACTTGGCTCCCCCATTAGCGTCATTTATTTTCATTTTGTATGCCTTCTTATTTACCTACTTTAATTACTTTGGATGATAAACATGTCCCATATTTCTGTTTTTGGTGATAAACTAGTTAATGTAATTAGAATGAAGAAATGAAAATGAGTGAAATATACATATCAAAATTTCTCTTTTCTGAGGTCTTTATGATTTATCTTCAAAGTTTTGTTTGTGTTGCCAGGAACATCTGTTAACACTTCTCATGGATAGTTGAACATTTGTTAGCAATAATCAAATGATGAAAACTTAGCAAAATAAAATATTATGCCTCTCTCAAGAGTTTATTTCATAATATTATTTTTGCCCATTAATTCTATTCATCTACGTCTAATAATTAAATGATATACTGCGAAGACATAGAAGTGAATACCAGTATCGTATTTTCATCCTATGCTCAAATTAAATAAACCGATGCATTTCTGATGCGAGTAAAATAATTCATCTCACATCTCACTAATCATTTTTACTCTGTAAACAACGCAAAGCTCCAAGATTTCTACACAATTATTCAATATATTATTTGAATTCCATTAAGTATAATATTTTACTCCCCCTGCAGTCGCTCCCCGCCGAGGTCCTTCACCTGTCACGTGCCACCGTCGGACCAGCGACAGAAGGGACCGCAACAGCAGCAGCGTCCCTTTAACTCGCTCGCGAGATATCGACGTCCGGCGGCTGGTGACTGCCAACCGTCTCCCCCGCTTCGCCGCCATAGCCATCACCCTCACCACACCTTTGCCTACACCGTCAACGACTCTACCGTGTCAAAATCCTCGCTATTGCGGTCGCTGCCAACATCTCCGCCATCGCCATCTTAACGTCTACTCCACCGCCACCCTCAGCGTTTCGTCCACCGCCGTAGTCACCTGTCAACAATACAGCCATAGCGATCTTCTGCTACTGTACCCGCCATCCATACCCCGAATTTTACACCTACACATGGGCACAGCCCCTACTGCTACACACAGGCACAGCAATGACGCCCAGGTCTTTTGTTCTCGTCCGCAGGTGCCGAATCACGGCGCTGGCTCGTTTTGGTCGCCCAGGGACCCGCGGGCGACTGGATCCAGCTTTGACGAGACCAGACAATGACGGCGACAGAGAGACATGCAAGAGAAGTAGAGAAGCACGCCTTGTTAAGAAAACTAATGCTAACCAAAGGGCAAAGCGAAAAGATACTGTTAGCGACTGCAATCGAATGAAAATAAGGGAAGGGATGGGATGACAATGGAAAAGATAGAGAGAAAACAGGGTAAAGAATTATTATGAAATTAGGATGGCACAGCAGCATCAAGAGACAGAGGCAAAGATAAATATAATTCTAAAAAACAGGGAAGAAAAAAGGGGGTGATAGTTGGCTAGTCATAGACGTCACAGGCAAAAAAGTTGAAACAAGCTGAATTCATGGTATTTACTTAGAGCAGATCTATGAACACTCTTGTAAAATTTAGATAAAAACGTATTACAGCAATTAAAACGAGACGTTGGAGATACATCTCGACTTATTTTACGAGATAGTTGTGCGAAACAAGTCCAGAACAGAAAATATATCCCATTAATATACAGAATATGTCTTTAAGTGGGATGAAAAAGTAGTTGTGGTGTAATGGTACTGTTCGTCACGTCTGTAATCGCCAGCACACGCAGCGCCTCCGTGATATCACAGCCGTCCGTGAAGACCACAGACGCCTACCGTTCTACCTCACACCTCGATCCAAAAGAGGTCCGTCCCCGTTTTAAGCTTTGGTTTAGGTTTCATCGCGCTCTATTCTACTTCTCAGCGATTCGGATCCTCTTAAGTTTTTTCCCAATGCAGTACAAGTTCTCTTAGTGGGTGAAGGCCTGGCGACTCCAGATGAAGGTCTGTATGGTCCTATGGTACAGCGGAGCGCTTCCTAGTAGTAGATACGAGACATCGATAACAAAACATCGATGTTAGTAAAAATTGATGTTCAAAATTAAAACATCGATGTTAAAAATACATTTACAAAACCCACCGATGTTTTACATTGCTTTAGTAGCCTATAACATTAAATCTGGGTGCATTAAAATTTAATTTGAGTGTTCATGTTAATCAATTCGCCCAATAAGAGTACAGTAAGAAGAGATACCCCACAGAGCATATTTTGTTACTCATATCTCAATGAGCATAATTAATATGAAGAAGGGAATACAACGGTATGGAGGCATACTCGTGGGAGGAAGTTTTGTCGATGAAGGTACTACAAATAGCGTCCCTATGGTTCTAACACATGAACTAATACTGTTACCACCAGTTATTTCATATTGTGACTTCCACAGTATAATGGGAATTTTTCATTCAGAAACAAAACATCTGAAGAGAAAAAACAGCGATTACAAAACATGTTTTTCAAAAAACATCGTGGTTAACACATCGATGTATAAAACATCGGTGTTTCTACAAAAACATTCACGTTTTAAAAACATGACATCGATGCCGCATCCCTACGTAGTAGTGCTTTCATTAACTAAATACCGGTTAGCGCTAAGAAATCCGGGGCTTCGCCAGTCAGAAACTATTTACCGAAAATACGGTCCCTTGGGCCAATTCGTTTTTAGTCAGGGAACCATGGTGTATGCCATGGCCACCCGCGCCAATAGCCAGTCGTAGCCGGCAGGAGGAGAGATAGAAAAGAGATCCAAATAGATGTAACACTTGACAACCTCCTAAGCAATGGTTCCTCGAAATCTCGGAAGAGACTAAACAGTAAGCGGAAGCATACTAGACAAGCTTTATTACCGATCCAATTCTTAAAACAAATTTCTCATGACACATTACTCACGTTTCTCTCATTGATACAATATCTCCACCCCGACCATACCCACCGATAAGGTCTTTAACATCCTGCACCTGATACCAATTGCCACGTACCGCTACTGTCATTGCCTGATGGAGTCGCATCTCCTTCATTCCTCCGGTATAAACGCGCGAGTATTTGAAAGGTCAGGCGTCTGAGCGCTAGGAAAGGGCTTTGCAGCAGGCTCGGTCATGCACCTCCGCCTCCTCCTTCGGCCCCGCCCAGGGGCCAATCGATGGCGCCGAGCAGCTGACGCCGGCCGCGGAGGGCGTTTCCGTGTGTGTCTCGCCAGCGCTCCTCTTACTTCGCCAGCGGTGTACACACTTTCCAAATAGGTCATAGGCGCGCATAGCAACACGAAAAAAATCAATGGGTTCACTAGTAATCAATGGGTGTTGCGTGGTAGCGTATCGTGCAAAGTAATGTTTTTTTGTAAAAACTGACCCAAAATTCGAAGATATTATATAATAAATTAATATTTTAACTGTTAATTACATGCTACTCTAATAAATATTTAAGTGCGGCAATTGTTTAAGAGATCATGGAGTGGGTGTATAAAGAAAATCAAATGCGGAAAAGAGAAATACTGTATTTCTTCATGATATCTTACAAAAAAAACACAAGTTACAGATAGTAATCTAACTTTTCGAAATGAACATTTTGTGAACAAAAATTAAATATTAATTAAACAACTATTTTCCTGCCTAACATGCCATGAAAATATACTGTTGGAAGTGTAGAGAAACATTGAAAACAACACATAAAAGTACCCATAATTTTTCTGTTCTTAAATAAGGTTTTGTCGGTTGAAATACTTGCTTGACAAATACAGAAAGCAACCTGCGCGCACTTTTTGTGTCGAGTCGGTTCGGTCCACTGTGCGGAGAGACCTGGCCGCTGCAACTGCCGGCGCCGACGGCCGCAGGTCATTGCTGTTCTTATTAGTACCAGTCTCTTGCGGGTTTTGTTGTTCGTGGCTCTAGATGCTGCTCCTGTCCGACCTCCAATTTCCTTTCGCTTACGCTTTCCTAACTTTTTGCGAGAGAGAAAAAGGCGACGCCGCTCGATGGGCGCACAAATAGAATGTGTGTTTTTGTGCGTTGGATATTTTCAAACGGCTTGAGTTTACGATTGCTTTCCGGATGAGTGTAACTATCTTGTGTTCTGCAGATATTTGCAGAGGTCAAGATGCGAAAAATGGAGGACAATATACAGCATTTATATATTGCGTGAGAAACCTACACAGAAATACACTTGATACAAAAACACAAGCAATTGATCACTTAATGCCAACTTCTAACACGCTGTTCACGTGTGGCCGAATGCTTGCTAATTGGGACTTCACAAGTGTTTGAACACTACAATTTGTTTACCACACTTTTTACTGAAACCTGTATCAAGAAATACATCTTTTAATATAAACGCAGATAAACATATTGCACTTTGCCAGGTAAGACTTTTTAAAAATGGACTTTTATTCAGCTGTTGAATTAAGAGGATGTAATTTTCTTTAGAGGAATATTACGTGTACAGCATGTATAATTTAACAATTTCACAAGTACATTCATATTCGTTCGATATATAACTTTTTAATGGAACAGTTTATAAACTCATTTATGCGTTTTCCATTACTAAAAAACGGAATACCTGTAGGAAATAATTATATTTACACGTCCCTACAGTCTGAGTTCATGCTGTCATTTCGGCGACGTGTTCACAGTCCGTTATTAAAATTTTTACTCATCGAAAATCCAACAGGATATTTCACACGAATAAATGTCATGGATATATAACCATAATATTTTGCATTATATTAACCAGTAAGAAACCAGATCAATTAAAGAACTCAGCATCAAATTTCTTGTGCATTTACATTAGGGTACATTACGACACCAACGGTTCAGTTCCTTCCCTTCTGCTTAAAAACTACGCGCAGCACCGCCGCCAGGAATCGCACGTGAATGGACGGGCCCCAACGCGGCTACTAAAACGCTAAGTGGGGCCATTGGCGGCGGCGGTGCCCCGTCTCCCCACCTTCCCCCGCCCCCCTCTGCGCGCCGAGGACCCAGAGACATTTCACGGGGGCGCATTACCCAGAATGTCTCCGCCTTAACCTTTACGTCTACCACCGATTTAGGCGTCGGGCGCCGTGCCCAGCTATCGACCGACCCATCGCGTCGCGGCGCGGCGCGCGGGCTGCCTCGCACGCCGCCATCGACCGCCTGCGCTCCCCCGCTGCCCACTGGGCCGTGCCTTGAGAATGGGCAGCTGGGCGATGGAGGGAATCTGGACGACTGGGGAAGGAGCCCTTCATTCCTAGGGGCTTGAGCGTCATGAAAGGGTAAAGAAACTGAAATTAGGTAAAGTGGCAATCTGTGATGTGAATAAGGTGCACGGAAAATGGGAAATCTGAAACACCTCCCCTTGAACCTTGAGTATGGGCAGCTTGTCCAAACAACAAATCTGGAGAACTAGGGAAGGAGTCCAACATTCTTAGATTTTTGCACATAATAAATAAATTGGTAAAGAAATAATGACGTTATTACGTGGCAAACCATGTTGTTGAATAAAGAGGAAGAAAAATCTAAAACCCGACACTACCAAAGTACTTTATCAACCGATAAAAACCTCAATTGATTGGAAACAGATCGGTACATCAGTAGCAGGAATATATTCGGAAGAATGAATAAGACCAGTTTTGCACAGTTGACATCCGGTGTTCCTGTGTTCTGCAGCTCACACTGTAGTAAATATGGATACGAAGGTCTAACAACAGAAAAAAGTCAACGATTACGCTTGCTGTTTGGAGAGGCTTATAAGGCTCTCCGTAGCTGAGCTGAAGTAGGATTTATTTCAATAAGGAAGTTGTGAATTCTAGACAGACCTAAAAAACTATTTTAAGTACAATATATAAAAAATAATTTTCTGAACAAAGTTCGCTGATAAAGTTAGCAAAAACTACACCAGCTCTTTTGACACAAACTAAAGGATTCAAGCAGAAAATTCGATGAACTAGATGAAGCAACAACATCCACATGGAAGGGAACCTGAGAACAACACCTGCACGGTAGCCTATGAAATAGAGCAAACGAGGGAAGAGAGTGCATCGAGCGAGACGGAGTGGTGGGGCTCAAAGGGGTTAGAAAGGGGGCGGGGCGGGCCGCCCCTGCGGCAGGGCGTGCGCTATAATGAGCGCGCGTCTGCCTTGCGCCAATAATTCAGCAGCAGAAGCCGCCGCGCCGCTTGCTTAGACGTAGCAACGGTAATCGCTAGGATTAGTGCCCCTGTCGTTGCTATCGCAACCGCCTTTGCTGCTATTACTACCACTACGCCCTCCTCCGCCGCCGCAATCAACGCCATTGATGTAGA